TTTTGGCATTAGTTTCATATGTATATATGGGTGATACTTTGACTGCAAAACGAGTATATACTGTGTCGTCATATTTCAATATGTTAAATGATTCTATGGTACACTTCTGGCCCCTTTCAATAACGTTTATTGCTGAGGCCTGTGTCTCAGCCAGAAGATGCAAAGAATTTCTATTGGATGGTGACCAGGCTGAAGCTCCATTGAAATTAGAAAAGAAATTAAAAAAGAAAAAGGCGAATAAATCTCAAAATAAAGACCAAAATAAAAATACAGTAGATAAATTAAATTTCATAGACAATCGAATAGAAGCGACTATTGAATCTAGTCCTGTGCGAAATGTAAGAACATTAAATATTAATGCGGTTTCCAAGGGAGTGACACTGCGTAGTGCAACTGCAACATGGGATAGTGACAGTTCACATGGCTACACAAGTCCAGCAATATCAAATTTAAATGTTGAAATCAATGAAAAAACTTTGGCAGCAATTGTTGGGCCAGTAGGTTCAGGTAAATCGACTTTTCTTAATGTTCTTTTGGGAGAAGTTCAAATTGATTCCGGTGAAGTTCTAGTCAATGGAAAAGTATCATACTGCTCTCAAGAACCTTGGGTTTTTGAAGGGACAATTAGAGACAATGTTGTCTTTGTTGAAGATTATAATGAAAGACGATATAAGCGCGTCTTAAAAGTGTGCGCTTTAGAAAGAGACCTTGAGTTGCTCCCCCGAGGAGATTTGACAATAGTTGGAGAGCGTGGAGTTAGTCTTAGCGGTGGTCAAAAAGCTCGAATAAATTTAGCCAGAGCTGTTTATCGTAAAGCGGATATTTACCTATTAGACGATCCTTTATCAGCCGTAGATACTCATGTTGGCAAGCACATTTTTGAGAGATGCATAAATGATTTCTTGTCGTCGAAAATTCGAATATTGGTTACACATCAGTTGCAGTATTTGTTTGACGTTGAGCAACTTTTGTTAATGGGATCGGGGAGAATTGTAGCTCAAGGTAGCTATCAGGAACTGCAAAGGTCTAAACAATTTCAATTTTTGGCTCAAACCCACCATGAATGTGGCGGAGGAGATACGGCTGGTGATGAAGTTAGTGTTAGCAGTCACTTGTCAAGAAGTGACTCAGAAAAAAGTATGGAACATTATTACCATTTGTTGCGACCAGACGAAAAGCCTGTCGAAGATGTGAATAAGGAAGCCCAAGCAATAGGGTCTGTTAAGCTAGATGTCTATCTTTCTTACTTTAAAGCCCTTGAAAGTACCTTTATACTAATCCTTATAGTAGGACTCTTCATATGTGCCCGCATAATGCTGAATGGTGTTGATTATTTTTTGTCACGATGGTAAGATCGTTAGCAATATTTTAATGTTTTAGCCTGTACTTATTTGTATAAAATTATCTGACCATTTTTAGGGTTATTTGGGAGGAAAACAAAAATTCATCCTATGTTGGTGCAAATAGTTCTTTCACAGAAGTTCTGATTTCGAATTACACAATTTTTGATGCAACTTCCGATGGAGACTTTCAAGAGAAAGAAAATGAAAGACAGAAGAGAGTAATTATTTATTCATCAATGTTGGGTGCTACCCTGGTTGTGTATTTGTTACGGACTTTTGGATTTTTCCGAATGTGTTTACGAATTTCTCTAAAGTTACATGATCGTTTATTTCGAGGCATTACGCGCACAAGCATGTACTTTTTTAATACAAACTCTTCTGGTCGCATTTTGAATCGTTTTTCAAAAGATATCAGAACAGTGGATGCGGATTTACCTCACACATTAATGGATTGTTTATCTGTAAGACTTTTTGTCAACTTATTTTAATTCTAAATACTTATAAAAAAATTCTAAATACTTCATAAAATTTCAGTTCGCGATTGATGCCTCAGGCGTACTGATTATAGTGGCGATTGCAAATTATTGGCTGTTAGTGCCTGCAGTTGTAATAGTAATTTGTCTTGTTGGTATACGATTTCTCTACGTAAACACGAGTCGCAGTGTCAAACGTTTGGAGTCTATTTGTAAGTAATAGAACTGGAATGACTTCATTGTAGTGATTTAACTAATAGACATATTATTTGCATTTTAAGCGCGCAGCCCTGTGTACTCGCTCACCAATCAAACCTTCCAAGGACTTACAACAATTAGAGCATTGGAAGCCGAATCAGCATTAGAGTCGGAATTTCATGATTATTTAAACGCAAATACGTCTGCATGGTTCTTGTTTCTATCCTGTACTAGAGCATTTGCTCTATGGACAGATATTATTTGTGTTTTTTATATAACTGTCGTTACATTTAGTTTTCTATTGCTTGGAGCGGACTTTAACAGTGGAGACGTTGGCTTGGCCATTTCTACATTCAAGTACTATGATTGGTATGTGTCAATGGGGCATGCGTCAAACAGCAGAATTAGAGAATCAAATGACCAGTGTTGAACGTGTGTTGGAGTATACCGAACAACCACCAGAGCCACCAATGGAAACATTAGATAAATTCAAACCCAAAGGTGAATGGCCAAGTAAAGGTCGTATTGAGTTCATTAACTTCAAATTGAAATATGATCCGAAAGAGTCGTATGTTTTGAAGGATCTGAACTTTACTATTGAATCGAATGAGAAAGTTGGCATCGTAGGAAGAACAGGAGCTGGTAAATCTTCTATTATACAATCACTATTTCGCTTAGCCTACAATGAGGGTGTAATTCGTATTGACAATGTGAACATTGAACAACTAGGACTTTATGATTTGAGAAGCAATATTTCTATCATACCACAAGATCCTGTACTATTTTCGGGCACTTTACGCTATAATCTGGATCCATTAGAAGAATGCAGTGACGTGGATATGTGGAGGGCGTTAGAAGATGTCGAACTGAGAGGACATGTCTCGACACTTATTGGTGGATTAAACTGTCGCATGTATGATGGTGGCTCCAATTTTAGTGTAGGCCAAAGACAACTGGTTTGCTTAGCAAGGGCCATTCTCAGAAAAAATAAAATTTTAATACTAGATGAAGCTACAGCTAACGTGGACCCTGAGTAAGTAATAAAACTGATATGTTTGATTAACTTATCATAATGACAATCAACTTTTATCTCATTTATGAAACATTGCAGAACCGATAAACTTATACAAAAAACTATAAGAACGAAATTTTCAGACTGCACCGTTCTAACCATAGCTCATCGTTTGCACACTGTCATGGATAGTGACAGAGTTTTAGTTATGGATGCTGGTCAAGCTGTTGAACTTGGTCATCCTTTTGAGTTACTACAAAAACCAGGTGGCTTCTTACGTACGTTAGTTGATCATACCGGCCTAGCGACAGCAGCAGCCCTATTTCAAGCTGCTGAGGAAAACTATAAGTTGAAATTTGAAAGAACTAAAAACGACACAGATACAAAAAAACAATTGTGATAAAAAGTATTACTGAAACTGCTACATCGTATACATACATATACATTCATATTTACATACATATATGAAACCTACTTACGAATGAAATCTCTTTTTAAATGTATTAGTCAATTTTTTATTTAAATGTTTAAAACTATCATCAATTAATTTTCATTAAGTATTCAATTTATACTGCCAATTTAAAAAGTTCGGTACTTGATTTATTTCTTCCATTTATGTGTTCTAATTAAATACATACAAAACATACGATACCTATCTATGTTCGTATGTAAGTGTAAATTGTAAAATATAATAATTTATTATAGATGTTTGTATTAATTTAAATTAAATGCAATTTATTATATAAAGTATTCATAATCAGATCAAAAATCATATAGGAATTTACTTCTTTTGTTGTTTTTATATTATATTAGAAGTTTATATATAAGACTAACAATTAAAATGAATACACGTATACGTACTTACAAATACAATACATATTTTTGTACTTAACATATTTAAAAACCAAATAAAGTGCCTAAACTTATGCAATTTTTCATGAGAAAAATTTAAAATTATAAATAATAATAATAAAATAAATGCTATATGATGGTCACTAAACACAATTTAATTTTGACTCAAATTTATTTTTTGGCGATGATAATTTTACAAGTAAGAGTGCTATATTCGGCTGTGCCCTGTATAGGCTATATTCCATTGTTATGGATGTATTAATTTCATTTTTTGATGATTCTAAATTCGTGATCGTTTCTGCAAACTTTCAGCTTTTAACATTGGCAAGTCTGGCCCAGACTTAATACAATGATGACATTGAAGACAAGTACTTACCACGCTCGCATACAAATAGGGAGTTAACTAAGTACTTACCACGTTCGTTTGCTAAAAAAGAGTTAAGAAAGTAGTTTTGTTTTTGAATAAATTTGAAAATTAGAAATATCTAGGCTAAAATGTTATTTGAAAGTCATTACTAGATTGGTCAAAACGGAGTCTCTTAGATTGTACTTGACAGTTCGCGCGCTGTGAACTACCACGTAAACCAACCAACCATTACTAGACTGCTTTCAAATAATGCAGACGGTATGTATTAGTCATGGAAAGGTAAGTTGTAAGTACAAGCCATTGTCGCATTACATTAATGCGTCGGATGTCACTTATTTGAAAGTCATAGAAAAGTGAAACAGTCAATGAACAATTGGTAAATTTTTATTTATTTCGATATGGAGTTTTATTTTGTAACTAATTTGATCCATTAATAAAACAGTATGCAATACAATACAATAATTTTCAGTTTGTGCAAATATTATAATTATTTTTAGATACTACTTACAGTATTAATAATACTCCACATACATATATAATTCGCACTATCTCTCTCTGGATCATCAAAATCAAAATGGGTACTATTCAAGTAAAAATACTTATTATAGATAAGATATTTCAACTTTTATTTACTATTTCAACTTTTATTTACTATTAGTTAGATTGCAGCAGCTACTATATCAATTTTATTCTAATTTAAAAAACGGTTAAAAGACCAGGAATATTTTTAACAGCAACAATAGGTAGACTCGAGGGCGCGTTAATAACGTGTAATGATGGTGTTATTTTACTTTATTTTAACTTTTTAAGTTGTTGTTGATATGATGAATCCTGTCAATACGGATTTAGATAAATTCATCAAATGTAGAGAATTAATTTATTTCGTCGTTTATTTTTATAGAATTTCTATGTGTGGTTGTTTTTAACTGTGAATTATATCTTCTTAGCACAGGTTAAAATAGTGGTCATATCGAATGAAGAACTCAGTGTGCGCGTATCGTTAAAAAATAAATATTAAAAATTAATAACGAGCAATTTTAAAATTATAATAAAGAATTGATTAAATAATGGTTCTGTGTGTTTGATTACAAAATTAAAATACTAATAAAATGAATAAATCACAAGAAAACAGTGAACGTAAACCAAATCCAATTTTAAAAGCAAATTTCTTATCAAAATGGTTCTTCTGGTAAATATTATTAAATATTTATGTTAAAAGAAAATTATAACAAACAAAACATCTTTTAAATAGAGCCTAACAAAGAATTTATAACATTTTTTATTGTGGACATACTTTGCTTTCGACATCAAGAATTAACAAGTTTGAGACATAATTTAAAATCACTTAAATAATTTAGAGTCACTAAATATCTTGATTGCATGTGAATTTTGATAAGTACCACTTCTATTTATGACACATTCGAATTTCATTTAAGTGTACCGTCGATTATTTAATGATGGTTGCTTAAATTATACAAATATTGGTGCAGCGTCGTTTTATAGTTTTCGTTAAAATAATAGTAATGATATCAAAGGTAACAAGAAATCTAAAAAATATGTATTCAAAGTAATTAAACTTATAAAAATATTTCATTTTAAGATGTTGGAATATTTTCGTCTTCCTAAAATTAGTAAATTATCTAATATAAAAATTTGTCTAACAAGAAATAAAGATTAGGAGATATGCTATTTTAAAAAGTGCTATTTTGTGTCTCTTGTAAAACTCAAGATTTTTATCTAGAAAATTTCTAATTTAGAAGGATCTTTCTAATATGTATTTACTTGTCACATAAAGTTCATCTGATGCAATAGGTTCAAGGCGGTTAATGTTTTAAACAAACCTATAATAAAAATAAAATTATCAGAATTTTATAAAAACTTTTTTCCTTTTCTGAAAAAATTTTTTGAGTTGAGTCACTTTTGTACTGGGTGTGCGATATGTATGTATATTACACCGTTTCACACTGTACGGAAAGCAAAATCGTGTTATTGTTACCCCTTTAAATATTTACCTTGCTTTGTTCATGATGATTCCCAAAATATTTTATTTTGATTAGAACCAAATTCAAAATCGAAGTTTTTTTCAAACATTTTTTTTAAATTTAATTTTTTTTCAAACAGATTTTAAAAGCCATATTTATTCAATGGAGTATTAAACATAAATAAACGTGTTTCTTATAGTTAAAAGAATTGTATGTTTATACCCTACACCACTATAGTGGGTAGGGTATTATACGTTTGTGCTAATGTTTGTAACCTAGCCCCCGTACGCTTCGAATGGGGCTTTGGAGCACATAGTTCTCTTAAATGATCTATTATCTTTATAAAAAATGGCACCACTTAGTTTTGTATAAGCTTCAATGATACTGCGTTTACATTTGTCAAAATTAGTTTTATCATATCCGAAGGATTTGCATTAAAAATTTTGGTTTGAAAGAATTTAATGGTATTAAATATCTCATATACGCGTCCGAAGAATATTCGTATAAAAATAACTGTTTTTATATTAATAGAATTTGTTTATTTAATTTTCATTGTTCGGTCATCAGAATCTGGCTGGCTGGCTGACTATTTATTGGCCATAAATTATTTGATAATAAAATAAAATACCAACAAATAGAAGACATAGAATGAAATCGAAAAAGGGAAATTGTTAATAAATTAAATTTTGATACTATTACTGATACTATTTATTTATTTACTCGTCCATTGATGATGATGTGTTTGTCTTATCAAAAAAAAAAAAAAAAAAAAAAACACGACACCATATTTATTTCGTGCTTTTGCGTTTGATATTTGTAGTGTGCTACTCATGTGAGGGAGGATTTAAAACTGTCAGTCAAATCAAAAGTCAATACTCACTAATGTGGCCTTTTTTAAAATGGTTTATGACTTTATTTTGCCAGATTTCATTTGAACTTGATGATTATGATAACGTGCTATGCACATAAACAATAACGGAAAGTTTGTTTTGAATTGATTTTTGTTACAGGTGGACACGAGAGACATTTCGTAAAGGCTATAGAGAACAATTGGAAGCGGATGATCTTTACGAACATATTCCCACTTTGGATAGCAAAAATGTTTCGTTTGCTCTTATTAAGCATTGGGAAAGAGAGGTTCGCCGTAAAAAGCCTAGTTTGTTGCATATGATATTTAGAGCATACGGATGGAAATTTGTACCAACATGCATTTTGTATTCAATTTTGGAAATTTCTATACAGTAAGTCAATATCGAAGGGCATAGTAGAAATTATACACTTTTAATATTTGCTTATCGCTTTTCAAGTTGTTCACAGCCATTGTTTCTCGGTGGATTGGTGTCCTTTTTTGCTGAGGGTCAAACGGACATAAGTAAAAATCAGGCATATCTCTATGCCACTGGTATAGTTCTGTGTTCGTTGGTATCGACGCTATGCTTCCACCCCTTCATGTTCTACCTCTTTGAAACGGGAACTCGTATACGTTTGGCTTGTTCTGGTTTAGTTTATCGGAAATGTCTACGTTCCTCGGTGACAGCAGAAAACAGCGGAATGAGTGGCTTTGCAATTGCGGTTCTTTCAACAGATTTGCCACAATTTGATATGACATTTTATTTCTTTCATGATTTGTGGAAAGGACCCATTGAGGCATGTATTATGGGTTATATAATGTATTTAGAAATAGGTTGGCCAGCGATTGTTGGCTTGGCTTCCATTATAATTTTTATACCACTACAAGCATGGGCTGCTAAAGCCTCTGCGCACTTTAGGCATGAGTCGGCGGAACATGGGGATGATCGTGTTAAGTTAATGAATGAGATAATAACAGCCATGCAGGTTATAAAAATGTATGCCTGGGAAAAATCGTTTGCAAAATTGATTGCTTTGATACGCAAGAAGGAGATAAAAGCCATTAGGGGCTCTATGAACATCTACGCAGCTCTACAATGTACCGAAATGATTTCCAAGTTAGCACTTTTTCTTAGCTTGGTGTCGTACGTCTATACTGGTGAGATTGTGACTGCAAAAAAGGTGTTCATCATATCCTCATATTATGATGTTTTAAATGATTCTCTTTTGCACTTCTGGCCATTGGCAGTTACTACTTGGGCTGAAACGACAGTATGTGCCCGTCGTGTTGTCACGTTTCTAATGCAGAGCGAAGATCCGGCGGATGGAGGATTAGAAAACTTCGGAATGGACGACGATGATGAAAAAGGAAATTTCAGTGGTCGTGTTCACAATCCCAGAGCTATTAAAAAGGGAGTTATCCTACACAACTTGTCCGCTAGCTGGGACAAAGTTGAATCTGATAAGCGGCGGAGCCACATTGAAAATGTAAATGCTCACATTCACGAACAACAATTTATAGGTATTGTTGGTAATGTTGGCTCTGGGAAGACTACATTACTTAATGCCATACTGGGAGAATTGGAAATTATTAAGGGAAATGTCGAAGTAAATGGCACCATAAGTTATGCACCGCAAGAAGCGTGGATTTTTGAATCGAGTATACGAGAGAATATTCTATTTGTCGAAAAATACGAGGAGGCACGTTATAAGGCGGTATTGCATGCTTGTGAGCTAGAGCGAGATATTTCCCTATTTCCTCACGGAGACTCGACAATAGTGGGAGAACGCGGTATAAGCTTAAGTGGCGGACAAAAGGCACGTATAAGTTTGGCGCGTGCGGTTTATCGCCAGGCTGATATTTACATATTCGACGATCCTCTCTCTGCGTGGACTCTTATGTTGGCAACGCTTGCTAGAACAATGCTTTAAACGATTTCTATCTGATAAAATTCGTGTATTAGTGACACATCACGTACAACATCTAAAGGACACTGATCGTTTAATATTAATGGAAAATGGAATTGCCGCCGAGCAAGGTACATATGAAACTCTCAAAACAACAATACGTTTTAGAGTACACCTGGAACATGAAGATGATGAACAGAAAGCAAGTATTCAACATGCCGACAGCATAATTGATAAGGATCGAGATGAAAAGTTCAAAACACATGAGATATTGCCAGATGATACAAAGGATAAAGGAGAAGAACGCAAAGAACTTCAAATGCAGGGGTCTGTCAAATTGCTTACCTATTTCACCTACTTTTATGCCTTGGGTATGCCATGGTTAATTATTTTCGTATTTGTACTCTTTATATTGGCCAGAGCTTGTCAGGCGACAATGGATATTTTCATATCAAAATGGTATGTATACATTTTCTCATATATGTATGTATGTATGTATGTATGTATGTATGTATGTATGTATGTATGTATGTATGTATGTATGTATGTATGTATGTATGTATGTATGTATGTATGTATGTATGTATGTATGTATGTTGTATGTATGTATGTATGTAGTATGTATGTATGTATGTATGTATGTATGTATGTATGTATGTATGTATGTCTGTATGTATGTATGTATGTATGTATGTATGTATGTATGTATGTATGTATGTATGTATGTATGTATGTATGTATGTATGTATGTATGTATGTATGTATGTAGTATGTATGTATGTATGTATGTATGTATGTATGTATGTATGTATGT